CATTAATATTACAGCTTACCAAATTAGCCACAATTCCTTTGCTTCTAATTGTATTTTAAAAATGAAAGGAGTCCCCTTCAAGATATTTGTCTGTTTGTTAAGTAATATTTTACTAATTTGAATTATTTAATAAATTTTAAGATATATCATCATGTAAAAATTTTTAAATTGTTTCTCTAATTTTGACCAGCCTTCCTTGGTATTGGTCCAAATTCACAAGGGTTGTATGCTGTTATTGTCTGAATGCATTTAAATGGACTTTATAAAATGCACAGGAAGGCAAATTTCTTTACCAGTGATATTATCTTGTTCATAATCAAGATTCTTGATTTTGTTATATTGCAAGGTACTTTGAAAGTATCTTACATAAAGAAAAAAGAATTATCTGAAAGAAACAAGTTGTTCCTTAATGAATTTCTTCAGTGTTCAATAGCTTCTAAGATTATGATAATGAAAAAGATAACCAATTCACCATAACTCTTTTTATGATTATGACTCATGATTACCTTTTCATTTTTGTCTTTGCTCCTTTCCTTTTCTCTCATTCCACCTTCTTTGCCTTTCTCTCTTTCTGCCTCCTGCCTACTCTTCTACCTCTTCCTCCTTTTTCCCCCCACTTTTCTTCCTTACCTCTTCCTCCTCCTCTCTCACCGGTTTCCCTCTCTGCTCTCTTTCTTTTCACAGAGTTACCTTTGAAAAGAGGGAGTGGTGAATTGCCTACAAACTCAAAAGGGAGCTCTGAAAGTCTTCCAATATTAAAGGTATTACAAAATATTTTAGAAAATACAGTTAAAAACACGTGTCAGATTTGTTAATATATAGTAGTTCATTGTAGAAATAATTGTGAATATTTAAACTTTAAGAATTTATGGTTTCTTCATACATTGAGAATTACAGGAACTTTTGTAATTTTGCTTTTATTATTAACAAAAACTAGAGAAATATCTTTGAAAGGATTTATAGTTACATTATTATGAATACTTTGGATGTGTTGTGATTCATAAACTTAGCAGAGATGTTCTACTCAGCACACACTCTGACAGATTAAATGAGTTATTACCTGTATAAAATCCAGTTAGAACAATGCTTGACACATGGTAAGTTCTCAGTGAGCTTTACTTTGAGAGGAAGAAAGAGGATGGGGAGATAAATGGCTGTTCCTATTTTCCTTGAATGTGCTTATGATTTTCTGAATATTTCCTTATTTCATGGATTGTGTTGTTGGACTGAATTCGGAGTCTGGGGAACAGCCATATCTGTCTGTCTATCTGTGTATCAAATAAACATTCATTTATAGGCAAGATCAAGAACAGAATTTCCAAACTTTATCGTATGTGATGCTAATACTATACTTCAGAAAAGGATGCTATGATCAAGTAATCTTGGGTGACTCTGGATTTACAAATAGGTTTATTTACTGTGAGACTTCTCAGAGGCATTAATTTATTTAGGTATACTGCAGTTTTCCAAGAAGGAGATATAGAATACCATATGTTTCATAATCTGAGAATAAAACCTCTTTTAACCACTTTAGAATATCTGTTTAGAACACTAGTGTTTCATAGACTATAGTTGATAAATACTTTTCTAGAGAGGAATCCAGTTGCTAAAGGAGCAGGGAAGTGAAATCTTTTGACTTCCTCTAACTTCATAAGAGGAAGACAAGAATCACCATCAGCAGCCCGAGTCCTGCTCCTATGAGGCCAGACAAGCCACCACCCTCCAGCCCTTTTACCATCCTTGACACCAGCCACCCCTCTCATGGCACCCACTACCTCTCTGCTGGGTGCAGTAATTAGCTGCAGTGGCCACACAGAACTCACAGATTATGGGGTTTATTAGGGAAGCAACAGGCTACAATTCAAGTTCAGGAAAGCACTCAGGATATAGTT